TCTTTGTATTTCTACTTTTATCAGCCTTTTCTTTTATGGATTCATTTGTGATTAATACTGCTTTATATTGCCACAGTATTTATTTTTATTTTAATTTATTCTTCCTTTTATTTCCACTTTTATGTTATTATTCTTTCATGGATTTATTTTTGTAATTTGGCCTCTCACTGCTCCATATTTAACGCTGGAGGAGAAAACAGCTGAAATATCAGAACCACTAGAAGTAAACCAACAGTGATGTTCTGTGAAGTCATGAAGGCTACAGTTTATATTCTGACTTACAAACTGGTTTGTGATCAGTTAGAACACCGTCTACCTGCCGTCTAATCCCTGAGTCCCGTCTGTCAGGTTCAGGACGACAGGAAGCAGTGGTGGAAGGTCCGTAACGGGATGGGAGCCAGCGGCTACGTGCCAAACAACATCCTGGAGATCACCAAAGCCGTGGACCTGACCGGTCGAGGAGAGCCCATCTACAGCCACACCATCCAGGTAGGACGCCTCACCTGAGCCGCACCTGTCGCCTGCTCGGCCGCCCACTCACCTGTTCTCATGTTTTATCTCCGATAACTAAAGCTCATGATGCCAAAGAAGGAGTTTGAGTTGTTTAAGGTAGGCCCAGTGGGACTGTGTGCTCTTAGTTTGAAGGTTCCTGCCCTTAGCTTCCTCTTCCTGTGTGTGCTTTGCTGTGGTTCTTAAAGGAACAGTGTCACATTTTAGTTTGTTTTTGGGAAAACGTGGTGGATCGGTGTCAGCGTCTGTATTAACCCTCTGAACTCTGGTTGTTGCTTCCACATTTTCTCTCAGTTTACAGTCACATGACAGAAAAACGGCTGAAAGCTTTTCCTAAAACCTAAAAAGTACAATTCTGAAATAAACCCATCGTTTACTTTTTACATCAGTAAGAACGGTTTTGTTGTTTTTTGGTCGAGCCTTTCCATCAGCAGCACTTTTGTGAACCAGATGTTGTGTTTAGACTGTAGCTCTGTGCTAAGCTACGCTAGGCTAACCCTGCTAGCTGCTAACAGGATGTTCCTCTAAGGGTTCTGTAGGGCTGGTGTGGGTTCAGTAGAACTCTAGCAGCAGTGGGTTTGTAGTGATCACCCTGTTGTTGCTTCGTCTCATCACCATCTTTGTGTTTCTTGCTTCATTTCACGTCGCAGCAACTTCTGGGAGAACTCAACGAGGTAAACCTTTATTTTGAAGGTGTTTGGACAGGAAGTGGAGGTTATTCACATTTAAGAGGCTGCAGTCAGAGTTTAGACAGTTTAGTCAGAACCAGGCTGATGGGTCGTCTCCTGCATGGCGCTGACCGGACTGGACCTTCTTGTCTCTGCAGAAGCAGACCACCAGGACCGACTTCCTGCCCAGCAAACCTGCAGCCACTCCGATGCCTCCGGGCCCGGTCCCTGCCCCGGCTCCGGCGCCGCCGCCTCCGGCCCCCGCCATGCCGCCGACGCCACCGCTGCCTCCGCCGGCCGCCGAACCCGCCAAGATCAGCCGCAAGAACAGCAACACGTCCAGCGACAGCAGCGTGGTGCTGAGGGAGAGCAGCCAGAAGCCCGCCGTCAGCCGTGAGTCCACACTGACCAGAACCAGTCAGGTCCAGGTGTTCTGTTGAAGGCTGCAGGTGTTCTAAAGCTTCCAACGGCTGCTGCTCTTCCTGCAGGTCGCAAGTCCAACATGGAGGAGGTCCAGGACGAGCTGATGCACCGCCTGACGTTGGGCCGCAGCGCCCAGAAGAAGTTCCAGATTCCTGCTCGCAGCAGCAGCCTGCCGGCCGTCAGCATCACCTACGACTCGTCTCCGGACCAAGTCAGAACCTGGCTGGAGGCCAAAGGCTTCAGCCCAGTGTGAGTTTAACAAACACAAACATTACCAGTAAGAAGAAGAACGTCAGCAAAACGTTCTGTGTGAGTTTGTAATAGATGTTAAACAGACGTGGAGGCAACAGGACGTCCGTCAGCTGTTTGTGTCAAACCGTCTTTATTCAACCTGCTGCTTGTTTTTCATTTATGAGCCACAAACTGTCAAAGTAGAAACAATGTCAGATTTCCTACTTTGTGATGGTTCCTGAATGCATCATGTGAATCTTTTAGTTTTGATAATTCATCAGAATTCCTTTATTCTCCACGTCTCATTACAAATACGATCCAAAACCAGAACCTTCCTCCTCCTGGTTCTGACCCAGTAGAACCAGACCCTTCCTCCTCACTGGTTCTGACCC